ATTTTCCCAAAATTTTATTAATTATTAAAAAGGATCTAATTTATATTTAACCAAAGAAAAATTTTTTTTTATTGTTCAAAAACTGTTTTTTTGAAAAAAGATTCAATTATATTCCCGGGCGACCCGGGCCCTTTTTTGATTTCTACTTTCTCCCAAATTTTTTTAAAAATCTTTTGGATGGTTAAAAATTTTTACCCTGAATTTAAAAAGAGCATTGGGAAAATTTTTGTCCCGTTTTTTTATGCTAAAATTTTTTTTTGTTTTTTTTTTAAATTTTTAGTTCTGATTTTTTTTTATTTTGCCGTAATAAACTTTTTTCGCAAATTTTTTCAGGGAAACTTAAGCACACCAAACAGCATTTTTGGGGGGAAAATTTTTTTATCAAAAGTTTTTTTACTGTTTCAAGATTTTTGAATACAACTTTAATATTTAAAAGTCTTAAAGGGGAAGGCATATCAAAACCCCCTTTTTTTTGGTAAGGGAGATATAAACACAAATGCAGTTTTTAAAGTGATCCTTTTTTGACTACGTTTTTTGCCCAAAACGTGGGCGTTTGTGGTTTTTTTTGGGCCTTTTGTTTTCGGTTTTTTTAACCCTTTTTTTTTCCCGGGGAAGGGGGAAAATAACCAAAATAAAATTTTTTGTTGAATAAGGTGGTTGGGATTTCTAGCAACTTTTTAAAAAAAATTTTTTAATTACATTTTTTTTGGGGATTTTTTTCATTTTCAAATTTTGTTCCTATGTCCCCTATTTTTTCCTCGCATTTTAAATTTGAGTTTAAGGTTTAAATTTTTCCTGGAAAAAAAAATTTTTTTTTTCTTGGGGGAATGGTTTTTTTTGGGGGGTTGTGCAAAAGGGCCGGGCCAAGGGGGGGCCGGCCGCGTCGGGGTTTTTTTTAACCGGTTTTGGGGGGCGGTTTGGGTGGGGTTTGGGGGCCGCCCCTTATTTGGGTTCCGGGGTTTCTTTATTTCAAATTCCGGGGTTAAAGTGGTGTCGCGGGGAAAAGGGGGGCTTTGGGGGGTTTTTTTTTTTTTGGGTGGTTGTTTGGTTTTTTTTTTTTTTTTTTTTTTTTTTTTTTTTTTTTTTTTTTTTTTTTTTTTTTTTTTTTTTTTTTTTTTTTTTTTTTTTTTTTTTTTTAAATTAAATACATTAATTATAATAAATTATTTAAAATTTATATTTATATAATTTTTATTTCTTTTATATTTTTTATATATTATATTTTATATATATATTGCGAAGGTTGTGTTGCTGCTTCTCGGAAATGTAAAATTTTATATACCTGTTGGTGAGGGGAAACAGAGGAGGGAAATTAAAAGAAAAAATTAAAATTAAAACCCCAAAACCTCATTTAATTATTCTGCCCCGCAATACTAAAAATAAAACCCCCCACACACCCAAACAAAACAATTTCACCCCAAAAAAAACCCCAACACACACACACACACCACACACCACACCCACACAAAACCACACACACAACACACACACAAAACACCACACCCCACATATACACCCCCACACACCAACCTACACACACTCACACACACAACACAAAACCCCCAAAAACCCCAAAACCACCACCCCAACACAAAACCACACACACCGCACACACAAAACCCCACCCCCAAAACACCCACACAATTTAAAAACCCACACCAAACAAAATATATACACCCACACACACACACACACACATACACACACACAAAACCCCTAAAACACAAGAAAGTGAAAAAGGGTTTTCAACAAGACTTTGTCCCAGAGCTACGG